CCCCTTTCGTTTCCCTTATGATCCCCCTATCCTATCTGCTCCCCTTTTGTTTCCCTTATGATCCCCTATCCTATCTGCTCCCCCTTTCGTTTCCCTATGATCCCCTATCCTATCTGCTCCCCTTTTCGTTTCCCTTATGATCCCCTATCCTATCTGCTCCCCCTTTCGTTTCCTTATTATCCCTATCCTATCTGCTCCCCCTTTTGTTTCCCTTATGATCCCCTATCCTATCTGCTCCCCCTTTCGTTTCCCTTATGATCCCCTATCCTATCTGCTCCCCCTTTCGTTTCCCTTATGATCCCCTATCCTATCTGCTCCCCCTTTCGTTTCCCTTATGATCCCCTATCCTATCTGCTCCCCCTTTCGTTTCCCTTATGATCCCCCTATCCTATCTGCTCCCCTTTCGTTTCCCTTATGATCCCCCTAATCCTATCTGCTCCCCTTTCGTTTCCCTTATGATCCCCTATCCTTCTGCTCCCCCTTTCGTTTCCCTTTATCCCCCTATCCTATCTGCTCCCCCTTTCGTTTCCCTTATCCCTATCCTACTGCTCCCCTTCGTTTCCCTTATTATCCCCCTATCCTATCTGCTCCCCCTTTCGTTTCCCTTATCCTCTATCCTATCTGCTCCCCTTTCGTTTCCCTTATTATCCCTATCCGATCTGCTCCCCCTTTCGTTTCCCTTATTATCCCCTATCCGATCTGCTCCCCCTTTCGTTTCCCTTATTATCCCCTATCCTATCTGCTCCCCCTTTCGTTTCCCTTATTATCCCCTATCCTATCTGCTCCCCCTTCGTTTCCCTTATCCTCTATCCTATTTGCTCCCCCTTTCGTTTCCCTTATGATCCTCTATCCTATCTGCTCCCCCTTTCGTTTCCTTATGATCCCTATCCTATCTGCTCCCCTTTCGTTTCCCTTATGATCCCATACCTATCTGCCTCCACCTTTCCCCTTATGATCCCCTATCCTATCTGCTCCCCCTTCGTTTCCCTTATGAATATTCTCCCCCTTTCGTTTCCTTATATCCCTATCCTATCTGCTCCCCCTTTCGTTTCCATTATGATCCCCTATCCTATCTGCTCCCCCTTTCGTTTCCCTTATTATCCCCTATCCTATCTGCTCCCCCTTTCGTTTCCCTTATGATCCCCTATCCTATCTGCTCCCCCTTTCGTTTCCCTTATGATCCCCCTATCCTATCTGCTCCCCCTTTCGTTTCCCTATGATCCCCTATCCTATCTGCCCCCCTTTCGTTTCCCTTATTATCCCCTATCCTATCTGCTCCCCCTTCGTTTCCCTTATTATCTTCTATCCTATCTGCTCCCCTTTCGTTTCCCTTATATGCCCTATCCTATCTGCTCCCCCTTTCGTTTTCCCCTTATGATCCTCTATCCTATCTTTGCTCCCCCTTTCGTTTCCCTTATTATCCCCTATCCTATCTGCTCCCCCTTTCGTTTCCCTTATGATCCTCTATCCTATCTGCTCCCCCTTTCGTTTCCCTTATTATCCCCTATCCTATCTGCTCCCCCTTTCGTTTCCCTTATTATCCCCTTATCCTATCTGCTCCCCCTTTCGTTTCCCTTATGATCCCCCTATCCTATCTGCTCCGCCTTTCGTTTCCCTTATGATCCCCTATCCTATCTGCTCCCCCTTTCGTTTCCTTATGATCCTATCCTATCTGCTCCCCTTTCGTTTCCCTTATGATTCCCCTATCCTATCTGCTCCCCTTTCGTTTCCCTTATGATCCCCCTATCCTATCTGCTCCCCTTTCGTTTTCCCTATTACCCTCTATCCTATCTGCTCCCCTTTCGTTTCCCTTATGATCCCTATCCTATCTGCTCCCCCTTTCGTTTCCCTTATTATCCCCTATCCTATCTGCTCCCCTTTCGTTTCCCTTATGATCCTCCTATCTATCTGCTCCCCTTTCGTTTCCCTTATTATCTTCTATCCTATCTGCTCCCCTTTTCGTTTCCCTTATTATCCCTATCCTATCTGCTCCCCCTTTCGTTTCCCTTATGATCCTCTATCTATTTGCTCCCCCTTCGTTTCCCTTATATCCCTATCCTATCTGCTCCCGCTTCTTTTCCCTTATGATCCCCCTATCCTATCTGCTCCCCCTTTCGTTTCCCTTATGATCCCTTCCTATCTGCTCCCCCTTTCGTTTCCCTTATGATCCCCTATCTATCTGCTCCCCTTCGTTTCCCTATCCTCTATCCTATTTGCTCCCATGTTGTTTCCCTTATAATCCCCTATCCTATCTGCTCCCCCTTTCGTTTCCCTTATGATCCCCCTAATCCTATCTGCTCCCCTTTCGTTTCCCTTATGATCCCCTATCCTATCTGCTCCCCCTTTCGTTTCCCTATGATCCCCTATCCTATCTGCTCCCCCTTCGTTTCCCTTATGATCCCCTATCCTATCTCCCCCTTTTTTCCTTATAATCCCCTATCCTATCTGCTCCCCTTTCGTTTCCCTTATCCCCTATCCTATGCTCCCCCTTTCGTTTCCCTTATGATCCCCCTATCGCTCCCCTTTCGTTTTCCCTTATGATCCCCTATCCTATCTGCTCCCCCTTTCGTTTCCCTTATGATCCCCCTATCCTATCTGCTCCCCCTTTCGTTTCCCTTATGATCCCCTATCCTATCTGCTCCCCCTTTCGTTTCCCTTATGATCCCCTATCCTATCTGCTCCCCGTTTCCCTTATGATCCCCCTATCCTATCTGCTCCCCCTTTCGTTTCCTTTATGATCCCCTATCCTATCTGCCCCCCTTATAATCCCTATCCTATCTGCTCCCCTTTCGTTTCCCTTATGATCCCCTATCCTATCTGCTCCCCCTTTCGTTTCCCTTATGATCCCCCTATCCTATCTGCTCCCCCTTTCGTTTCCCTTTATGATCCCCCTATCCTATCTGCTCCCCTTTCGTTTCCCTTATGTCCCCTATCCTATCTGCTCCCCCTTTCGTTTCCCTTATTCCCCTATCCTATCTGCCCCCTTTCGTTCCCTTATGATCCCCCTATCCTATCTGCTCCCCCTTTCGTTTCCCTTATGATCCCCCTATCCTATCTGCTCCCCCTTTCGTTTCCCTTATGATCCCCTATCCTATCTGCTCCCCGTGCTCCCCTCCCCTTATTATCCTATCTGCTTTTCGTTTCCCTTATTCCCCTATCCTATCTGCTCCCCTTTTCGTTTCCCTTATGATCCCCCTATCCTATATGATCGCTCCCCTTTCGTTTCCTTATGATCCTCTATCCTATTGCTCCCCCATTATAATCCATTATCCCCTTATCCTATCTGCTCCCCCTTTCGTTTCCCTTATGATCCCCCTATCCTATCTGCTCCCCCTTCGTTTCCCTTTTATCCTCTATCCTATTTGCTCCCATGTTGTTTCCCTTATGATCCCCTATCCTATCTGCCCCCCTTTCGTTTCCCTTATGATCCTCTATCCTATCTGCTCCCCTTTTGTTTCCCTATGATCTATCCTATCTGCCCTTTCGTTTCCCTTATCTCTATCCCTATGCTCCATGTTTCCCTTATGATCCCCTATCCTATCTGCTCCCCCTTTCGTTTCCCTTATTATCTTCTATCCTATTTGCTCCCATGTTGTTTCCCTTATTATCCCCTATCCTATCTGCTCCCCTTTCGTTTCCCTTATGATCCCCCTATCCTATCTGCCCCCCTTTCGTTTCCCTTATGATCCCCCTATCCTATTGCTCCCCCTTCGTTTCCCTTATGATCCCCCTATCCTATCTGCTCCCCCTTTCGTTTCCCTTCTGATCCCCTATCCTATCTGCTCCCCCTTCGTTTCCCTTGAAGAAGTAAGTATAAGGGATTCCAATCGCACACACAGCGGCGTAGAATCCATACATCCCAGCTTGCGTGAGTCCGTCCTGCATCGGAGTGTAGACTTGCAGCGCCACGAAACTGGCCATCGTACTTATAGAAATGCATATGCTGCTCGCCTGGAAAGTTCAAGTGTGATTATGTAAAAACCTGAATTTGGCTTGATTTGATTTTTTGGATTTAGAGAAGGAGCGTTTGTAAGGTGAAATAACTCTCGGGTATAAATATAGATGGATATTTACTTTTTTATATATTTTTTTTTTTTCTTTTTTTTTTTTTTTTTTTACTTCATTATTCCATGAATTTGATTTTTTGGATTTAGAGAAGGAGCGTTTGTAAGGTGAAAGAACTCTCGGGTATAAATGTAGATGGATATTTACTTTTATATATATATATATTTTTTTTTTTTTTCTTTTCTTTTTTTTACTTCATTATTCCATGAATTTGATTTTTTGGATTTAGAGAAGGAGGGTTTGTAAGGTGAAATAACTCTCGGGTATAAATGTAGATGGATATTTACTTTTTTTATATTGCTTTATTGTTTTTTTTTATTACTTCATTATTCCATGAAATTGATTTTTTTTCATTAAATAAGTAGCGTTTATATCAATACTTTATATTAAAAAAGTAACTTTCGGGTAAAAATGCAGATGAATATTACATTTTTATATTGTTTTTATTGTTTTTTTATTACTTCATTATTCCAACTTGAAAATACGAGAAAGGAATTTAGCCAAAACAGTATTTTCTACTTTCATGTTGATTGTCATGTTAATAGGAAAAAAATTACAATTAAAACTGTTCGTACTCCAGCAAAGAGTAAAATTTAAAAAATGGAAAAAAGAAAGCAGAGGAAAAGAAAAAACACAAATAAAAGAGAAGCAAAAGAAAAGAAATAAGTCAAAGTAAAATAATAAAAAATGAAAAAAGAAACAGTAACAGCAAAAGATATAAAAATTTAAAGAAAGAAGAAATAATATGAATCGCAAAGAAGAAAAGAAAAAGGTCAAAGTAAAAGAACAGAAAAAAAACTGTAGCAAGAAAAAATAAATATGTAAAGAAAGAAAAAAAATAATCGAAAAAAAAAAAAAATGAAAAAAAAGGGGGGGGGGGACTTACCTGGGACCGAACCCACGTCGGGAAGTACTCGTTGGCCAGAATATGAGGCACGGGATTCACGCCGAAGGATGACCCGACGAGGAACAGCATCATGGCCACCAGGGGGACCCACCCGTAGGGGCTGGGGTCGCCCTCCCCCGCCCGCGCCCCTCTCTCCCCTGCCGGCCCCCGCCTCGCCCGCCGCCCCCAGCCCTCCCCCCGCCAGGACCTCGTCCGCCCCTGCCGACCCCCGCCTCGCCCATGCCAGGGGGTGGAACGCCGGCCTGCCAGGAAATGGTCGAATCAGGTGATGTCATTTCAGTGAATATCGGGAACTTGGGCTTGGATGGGAAGGAAGGCCGGGCCAGAGCCGGTCCCAAGGCCGGATAAGGAGAGAGGGTTGGCGTCAGGAAGGGCATCCGGCCATTAGAAAGAAAGATATCCACCTAAAACGGGTTATAGCGACCACACTTAAGAATGGAACTAAGCTACAGCCAAAGAATTATTTTGATGAATATCTGTGCACTAATAACACACAAATTACACATTTTTATTGATAATACGTATTCATACATACATGTAATACTCACATATCCACACACATGCACAGAAGGTAATAATATCCATATACGTGAATGTTAGTGCACAGGATACACATACTTCCAAACACATACACAGTTTATAAAGATAACACAAAGATGCATTTATATTTATGTCGTATATGTGTTATTGTTTTCGACGTAATAAAGTCTTGTAAAGCAGAATGTAGACACAATAACGACCTTCAGATAATATAAATCGAAGCTTTGCGTCATCAAAAGTCTGTCCATTTTATTAATCTATTCAAAATTCATTCAATTGTTGATTTATCTATCTTTCATCTATACATTTATTCATTCATTCAAATATTTCTCTGTCTATTCATTTTTCGATCTATCTATCTATCCATCTCTCAGTCCATCTGTCAATCTATCTATCCAATTACCTATCCATCTACCATATATCTATCCATCTACCTATCCATTTATCAATCTATCTATTTATCTTTCTATCTATCATATGCATTCTTTGTTGTTGTTTTTGCATATATTTATTATTACCTTCGACTTATCATTCGTCTATCTATTCATCTATCTATCCATCTACTTAACTATCTATTTATCCATCTATCTATCTACCTATCAATCAGTCAATCTGTCTGTCTATCCATCCTTCCACCTATCTATCTATCTATCCGTCCTTCCACCTATCTATCTATCTATCCATCCTTCCAACTATCTATCGATCTATCTATCTATCCATCCATCCATCCACCTAGCTATCTATCTAACCTACTCCTCTATTCATTCGTTCCCTTTTATCCATCCATCCATCCACCCATCTACCCATTCAATCATTCACTCACTCATTCCCTTCCCCACCACGCCAATCTATCTATCTATCTATCTATCTATCTATCGACCCTTCTTCGCCTTACCTGAGAGTCCGCCCACTCACGTCCGAGTCCGTCAGCCCAACATAGACCGACATGACTATGAGGAAAGGAACCATCATGGCGAAGGACACGAACAGGCTCATCCTCCTGCCGATGCGGTCCATGAGGAGCGATGCGATAATCTTCACCAGGAACTGTGAGGGAGAAGGAGGAGGGAGGTGGAGAGAGAGGTGGAGAGAGAGAGAGGAGCGATAATGAGGGGGGGAGGGAGAGGGGAGGGGGGGAGGGAGTGGGGAAGGAGGGAGGGAGGGAGAAAGAGAGGGAGGTGGAGAGGGAGGTGGAGAGAGGGAGGAGCGATAATGAGGGGGGAGGGGAGAGGGGGAGAGGAAGGAGGGAGGGATAATGAGGAGAGACAGAGGGGGGGAGAGGGAGAAGGAGAGGGAGGTGGAGAGAGAGAGGAGCGATAATGAGGGGGAGGGAGAGAGGGAGAGGGAGAGGCAGGAGGGAGGGAGGGGAGGAGAAGGAGGAGAGGGAGGGAGGGGGAAGGAGAGGGAGGGAAGTAGGAGGGAGGGAGGGAGATGGAGAGAGAGGAGCGATAATGGGAGAGAAGAGAGGGGGGGGGGAGAGGGAAGGAGGCAGGGGGGAGGGAAGGAGAAAGAGGGAGATGGAGAGAGAGGAGCGATAATGGGGAGAGAGAGAGAGAGGGGGGAGAGGGGAGAGCAGGGGAGGGAGAAAGAGGGAGAAAGAGAGGGAGATGGAGAGAGAGGAGCGATAATGGGGGGGAGGGGAGAGAGGGGAGAGGGGGGAGAAAGAGGGAGATGGAGAGAGAGAGCGATAATGGGGGGGGGAGAGGAAGGAGGCAGGGGGGTAGGGAAGGAGGCAGGGGGGTAGGGAGGGAGAAAGATGTAGATGGAGAGAGGAGCGATAATGAGGGGGGGGGGAGAGAGAGGGGAGAGGGAGGAGGCAGGGGGGGAGGGAAGGAGAAAGAGGGAGATGGAGAGAGAGGAGCGATAATGGGGAGGGGAGAGAGAGAGAGGGGAGAGGGAAGGAGGCAGGGGGGGAGGGAAGGAGAAAGAGGGAGAGGGAGAAAGAGGAGGATAATGGGGAGAGAGAGAGAGAGAGGAGAGGGAAGAGTCAGAGGGGGGAGGGAGGGAGAAAAGAGGGAGATGGAGAGAGAGGAGCGATAATGGGGAGAGAGAGAGGGGGGTGAGAGGGAGGGAAGGAGAAGAGAGGGAAGATGGAGAGAGAGGAGCGATAAAGGAGAGAGAGAGAGAGAGAGAGGAGAGGGAAGGAGGAGAGGGGGGGAGGAGGGAGAAAGAGAGGGAGATGGAGAGAGAGGAGCGATAATGGGGAGAGAGAGAGGGGGGGGAGGCAGGGGGGGGAGGGAGAAAGAGAGGGAATGGAGAGGAGAGGAGCGATAATGGGGAGAGAGAGGAGAGAAGAGGGGAGAGGGGAGGCAGGGGGGGGAAAAGAGGGAGAGGGACCATAGCAGACTGCATAACATAATGTGGCATGCAAGCCTCACCTGGACGACCATGACGATGATGGCCGCCAGGTCCTCGTCGACGGAGGAGCCCGCCTCTTTGAAGAAGCGGGACGCGTTCACCGTGAACACGAAGTAGCCTGCGAGGAGGAACTGATGAATGGGGGAATAAGGAAATAGAGGAAGTGATAAATGGGGGAATAGGGAGGAAGAGGAACTGATGAATGGGGGAATAAGGGGGAAGAGGAAATAATAGGAATGTAGAAAGAGGCGTTCACCGTGAACACGAAGTAGCCTGCGAGGAGGTGGAAGGAGGAACTGATGAATGGGGGAATCAAGGAGGAGAGGAACTGATGAGGGAAATAAAGGAGGAAGAGGGACTGATGAATGGGGAAATAAGGGGGAAGAGGAAATAATAGGAATGTAGAAAGAGGCGTTCACCGTGAACACGAAGTAGCCTGCAAGGAGGAACTGATGAATGGGGGAATAAGGAGGAAGAGAAATTGATGAATGGGGGAATAAGGAGGAAGAGGAACTGATGAATGGGGGAATAAGGGGGGAGAGGAAATGATAAATGGGGGAATAAGGAGGAAGAGGAACTGAGATGAATGGGGAATAAGGAGAAGAGGAACTGGAATGGGAATAAGGGGGAGAGGAACTGGTAAATGGGGGAATAAGGAGGATGAGAAACTGACGAATTAGGGGATCAGGAGGAAAAGAAATAATAGGAATGTAGAAAGAGGCGTTCACCGTGAACACGAACTAGCCTGGAAGGAGGTGGATGGAGGAACTGATAAGTGGGGGGATATGTAAAAAAGGAAATAATAGAAGTATAGATAGAGGCTGGAATGACCTGGAGAGAGGAACTGATAAATTGAGGAATAAGGAGGAAAAGAAATAATGAGGAAGAGGAAATGATAAATTGGAGAATAAGGAAGGACGTGGAAGTGGAAAGAAATTATAAAATGGGGAATAAGGAGAAGAGGAAACTGATAAATGGGGGAATAAGGAGGAAAGATAAATAGTGGAAAATGTAGAAAGAGGCGTCCGACCGTGAATACAAAGTAGAAATGAATGTAATAATGAAAAAGGGGATTGAGGAAATAGACAAAATGACGAATAATAACCAAAGGAATGTCGTTATTTTTACAAGATCTATCTCAGCAATTTATCTTAAGAGTGTCACTTAATAGCTATATATTGGTTACAAACGTGAATGCAAACAAAAACTATGAATAGTATTTTTTTATAATCTAGTTTGACAAACGAAACTCCTACTCCCTCCCCATCCCTCCTTTCTCCTCTCTTCTCCTCCTCCTCTCCCTCCCTCACCCTGCCTCCTCCTCCTCCCTTCCCACCTCTTTCCCCTCCCCACCCCTTCCTCCACCCTCCCTCTCCTCCCCTCCCCCTTCCCCTACCTCCTCCTCTCCCCCCGTCCCCACCCACCCGTGAAGGCTCCCTCCTCCCCTCCCCGCTCCCTCCCCCTTCCTCCTACCTCTCCTCCCCTCCTCCCCCCTCCACCACACTTCCGTCCCTACACCACCCGTGAGGCTCCTCCACCCCCCTTCCCACTCCTCCCCCTTCATCCCCTCCCCACCAGCTCTCCGTCCCTACCCACACCCGTGAAAGGGCCTCCTCCCTCCCCCCCCTCACCTTCCCTCCTCCCTGCTTCTCCACCTCCCTTTCCCCTCCCACCACCCTCTTTCCCTACCATCCCTCCCTCCCCTCTTCCTCCTCCTCCTCCTCCTCCTCTCCTCCCCTCCCCCTCCCCCCCCCCGTCCCACCCACCCGTGAAGGCCTGCACGAGGAATAGCCCGCAGACGGCGCCCAGGGCCCTCGCCACGTCCGCCTTCAGGAGTCCCCGCCAGAGGGACCCGCCCTCGGCGCCGGCGTCATCGCGGAACCCCTGGGGAAGCCCTGGGAGCCGTGTGTGGTTATGTGGCGGTATATGATTGTGTATGTGGTTATTGGGGGTTATGTTGTGTAATGTTGGTTATGTGGGGGGTATATGTTGTGTATGTTGGTTATGTGGGGGTATATGTTGTGTATGTTGGTTATGTGGGGGTATATGTTGTGTATGTTGGTTATGTGGGGGTATATGTTTGGTATTTTGGTTATGTGGGGTATATGTGTATATTTGGTTATGTGGGGGTATATGTTGTGTATGTTGGTTATGTGGGGTATAATGTTGTGTATGTGTTATGAATATGTGTGTTATGTTGGTTATGGGGGTATATGTTGTGTATGTTATATATGTGTTATGTGATTATGTGGGGAATTGTTGTGTATGTTGGTTATGTGGGGGTATATGTTGGTTATGTGGGATGGAGTTATGTTAGTTATGAGATAAAGTTTATGTTGGCTATGTGGGATGGACTTATGTTGGTTATGCGGGGTATATGCTGTCTCTGTCTAGCATAAACATGACAAATACAAACACGAAAACAGATTTAAAGGTGCAGATAATCAAATAGATACAGATTCATTCAAATATCACGTAAACACACTAACTCCTGTTGTTATTATCGTTTTATCATCATCATCCTTACCCTCCCTCCCCTCCTATACTCCCCACTATCATCATCATTCCCCTCTCCCCTTTACTCCCTACTTCATCACCATTCCTCCCTCCCCTCCTATGCTCACCTCTATCTCAGCGTCGACATCAGCGTGCTCGCCTCGCAGTCTCAGCAGCGTCTTCCGAGCTCGCTTCTCGTGTCCTTGGTAGAGTGGAACAGAATTGCTATGTATATTTCATAGATACGTGAGAGAGGCAAGGATACACACATGCATGATTACACACGCTAAAAGAGCACACACACACACACACACACACACACCAAAAAACTTGTCACTTGACGCGTGTTTATAACTATCTTGTATAGAAAAGAGAGGAAAGGAAAGAAAGGAAGGAAAGGAAAAGAAAGAAAGAAAGAAAGGAAAGAAAGAAAGAAAGAAAGAAAGAAAGAAAGAAAGAAAGAAAGAAAGAAGAAGAAAGAAAAGAAAAGAAAAGAAAAGAAAAGAAAAGAAAGAAAAAGAAAGAAGAAAAAAAAAAAAAAAAAAGAAAAATAAAAAAAATATAATATATATTAAATATATATATATATATATATATATATATATATATATATTATTATAGAGATATAGGAATAAGAGAGAGAGAGAGAGAGAGAGAGAGAGAGAGAGAGAGAGAGAGAGAGAGAGAGAGAGAGAGAAGACAGAGACAGATTATACAAAAATCATCTTTCTTTCAAACCTGAACAAAAGCGAACAAGGTCACCTTAACTGACCTTTGACCGCGAGGAAGGCCGGGGACTCGGGGAGCAGGACCATGGCCACCACGTAGGCCAGGGGGATCGCCGAGCACACCAGGGCCACCACGTAGTACCTGGCCACGTAGCCTACGACCACCGTGAGCACCTGGCCTGAGGGAGGGGGGACAGAGAGAGAAAAGTCAGATGCTGCTCTTTAAAAAGTTTCTAAATACCCAAAGGTCCACATGTTTTGCATCCACTCTGGGACTACAGTGAAATCCACTTGTTTTGTAACTGAATTATGACTACAGTGGAAATCGACGCTTATTTGTTTATCTATATGTTTCAGGTGCTCTCTAAATACCCAAGACTTTTGTAAAAAAAGTATGTAGTTCCTTTATATGTCAATATTTTGCACGTCAGCATTCGATACATGAACAAGCGCCAAAGAATATCAAATATCACTTATTTGATTATCAAAAACACCAACTTATTATCAATCGTCAAATTATTGAAAATACCAGTAAATTGCCAGCTATGTAATTATCTAAACGCCAATCAATCACCGGTCATTCACTAATCAAAACACCGACTAATTACCTATCCTTTGATTATCAAAAACACCAATCGATAAACAATTCCCTAATTACTAAATTTTCTATTTAATCATTTACTAAATAATTACCAATTACTGAATTATCAACCTCCAATCATCAAATTATCAATCACACACTAATGAATCATTAATAACCCATTATCAAATACACCCATTTCATTACCGTGGGTTATTAATCCCAAATAATTAATTGCCAATCATTCTATCATTAAAAACCGATTACCGAATTATTAATGAAATCACCAAATAATTATAAAATCACCAAATAATCTCTCATTTAAACAACCAGTTACCAATCTATTAGCTACCAATCATCAATCACCAATTATCACTAAAACCAACCAATTACCGAATCCTCATTCAATCTCCAATTATCCCATCACTGAAAACAACCACTTATTGAATTATTAGTCACCAATTAGTAACCAATCATTCTCAATGAAAGCAACCAATCACCAATCATCGCGAACCAATTCAATTACAGAATCCCCAATCAATCACCAATTATCCTACAACTAAAAACAACCAATTATCGAATTATTACCCAACAATTGCCGAATCATTAATTATGCGATCACTGAAAACAACCAATCACCAATTAACCCCCAATCACCCCCATCATCGCAAACCACCAATCACCAATCATCGCAAACAACTACCATTCGCGCAAATCAAACAACCAGTCAACCCATCGTCACTAACAACCAATCATCGAATCACCAAACATCGCAAACAACCAATCGCCAATCAACCCCCAATCACCAATCATCGCAAACAACCAA